CTGCCCACCCTGCGCTGCCCACCTCCCCACACTGCCCCCCTGCCCTGCCCACCCTGCCCTGCCCACCTCCCCACACTGCCCACCCTGCCCTGCCCACCCTGCACTGCCCACCCTGTCCTGCCCTCCTTTGCCCGTGCTGCCCACCCTGTTCTGCCCACCCTTCCCTGTCCACTCTGCCGTGTCCATCCTCCTCTCTCCACCCTGCTCTGCCCACCTTGCTCTGCCCACCCGCCCTGCCCACCTCCCCACACTGCCCACCCTGTCCTGCCCATCCCACCTGCGTTCCCTCTCCTGCCATGCCCACCCTGCCTCCAGCCCCACTGTCAAGCTACATTTTGATTCCAGACACGGCCTCAGCTTCTCCAGAGCCACCGGCGAGAGGGCGGCATGCTGGCCACCCCAATGGAGGGTGACCCAAAAAGCTTCTGAGAGCCCCAAAGGAATGCTGGAAATTCCTTGGCCCCAGGAGTTTGCATCTTGCCTCCACAGCCAAGCCGAGGCAGTTTCTTGTGGGTCCTTCCATCTGGGAGAAGTCAGAAGGTGATGCTGAAATATTTGGGTTTCTGGGGACTTGTGTAGTACAGGTGACTCCTGCCACAGCCTCTCCCTGGATAAGGAAGACCAAAAAAGAGAGGTTTGGGGCAGATAACCTCTGCTCTGGTTTGTTTGGGATCTTGAGAGCAATTAAATTATCTCTATTCCTGCCCCCCTTCCCATCACTTGTCCAGGAGACAATAGAGAGCAGGAAATTAAGAGTGGCTGTGAACAAAGAGCCCCGCGCTGAGGCTGCCGAGCGCGGCCGGCAGCTCCTCGTTTTCACTTCGCCATCCACTTCCCCAGGCGAATCTAAAGACATCAGGTCCTGGAGCACCGGCAGAGTTGTTATCAGCCTCATTAATCTTTAGGAGGCAGGAAAAAGCTGCTTCTGCTGGAGATGATGTGGGAATTAATGTCCTGGTAATAGCGGGAGAGGAGGGAGGGGGTGAAGGATGCTCGGCTGGTGTGAGGGGGATCGGATCTTTGGGGTGTCCCGAGGAACGGCAGTCCCTGGGTGGCTGCACCGGCCCCCGGAGGAGGGAGGACAGCCCAGGAGAGGGGTTTGGTGCCCTGTGACCTTTCCAGAGCTGTTTTATCCTCTCCTGGCTGGTGCCCGTGCCCAGCAGCGGTGCCCTTCCCTGGGCAGTGGTGGCTGTGAGCATTCCCAGCGCTGCCTCCTGGAATCTCTCCCCAGAGCAGGTGACGCTGCCACGTCCCTGCCCTGGGTTCCTCGGTCACCAAGCCCTGGCACCGAGATCACCCCAGCCCGGCTGGCAGAGGCCTCTCCTGGAGGGCTGCAGGAGGGGCAGGGGGGGCACAGGGATCCCAGGGGGCTGCCAGGGGAGCACCAGGGCTCCAGCCTCTCCCTGCTTTGCACTTCCACCTCGGTGGGAAGCCAGGGCCAGGGAGCTGGGGGAATCCAGGCAGTTCTGCCTGGCTGAACCCAGATCTGATCTTCATTAAAAACCCCATAAAATTAATGAGATGATGGCCCGGTGGGTGTTGAGGAGCTGATCGGAGCTGATCTCCATCCAGGAGGAGGGCAGCAGCAGCTGCCTGAGTCAGGAAGCCATCCTTGAGCCTTTTGAAGGGATTGTTTTTTTCCATTCTGCCTAGTTTTGGGGCTGAATTAAAGCCCAGTGCAGAGTCTGCTCTGCGTCCCTGGGTGGTCCCTGGTTCGGAGGGACGCTGTACCAGCAGCTGGTTTGGTGCTGGCAGATAAACTCCTCTTTGTCCTTTTGCCTGGGAAGCATCCACAGCACTGAAAAGCACTTTACTGGCAGGGCTGGGGAGAGGAGGAACACACAGCCCCTTCCCACACGGCCGAAATAACCCCTGGGAGAGGGGCACGGGGGTTACGTGACCACAGAGAGGCTTTCAAAGCCCTTCCAAGCTTTCTGCCGTCCCTTCCCAGCTGTTCCACAAGAGTCCCTGTGGAAAACAGAGCTTTCGACCCCTGTCCTGGAAATGAGTGTTGTAAGGAGCTGGGGCTGGGATGCCAAAGGAGGGGTAGGGTGAGCTGGCCTTTCTCCTGGATCCATGGCAGGGAGGCAGGAATGAAGGGGCTGGGCTGGGCTGGGCTGGGCTGGGAGGGGGTGCCGCTGCTGTCCCCCAGGACGGGGAGGATTTGCTGTGCAGCCAGGCCCAGGATCCCTGTGGATCTCTTGGATTTGATGATCTCTCTTTGGAAAGCCGGCCCAGCCTCTTCCCCCCGCTGCCCTCAGAGGGACCCCGCTGTCCCCTGCGGCCGTGGGGACAAAGCCAGCCCCGGCAGGGATGACCGTGCTGTTTCTGTCCTAGGGACACTGCGCTGGCACTGCCCTTTCCCTGCCTTTTCCCTTCCCAGCTCCAGCCCCGCGTGGCTTCGGCGGCTCTGCTGATTCCTGCCCGGAGGCGGCCTGGCTGCGTTTCAGGGATGCTCGGGCCGGGGGGAGGCTTGGCTTTCTGCTAATTAACCAGACAAGCAGTCTGGGCCATGTCCCCGCGCCCCGAGGCGCGGCAGGACCCGGCTGGTGGCTGCCAGAGCTGATGGGAGCGTCTGCAGCGCTGATGGATGGCGGGGGAGAGGCGCCGAGGCCGTCACCTGCGCCCGGGGCAGCGTCCGGACCTGCCGGGGTCCGGGGCAGCATCCACAGCCGGGATCGGGGGCAGCATCCACGGCCGGGATCGGGGGCAGCATCCACGGCCGGGATCCGGGGCAGCATCCACGGCCGGGATCCGGGGCAGCATCCACAGCCGGGATCCAGGGTAGTGTCCACACCCAGGATCCAGGGCAGCACCCAGACCCTCCTGGGATCCAGAGCAGCACCCAGATCCTTCTAGGATCCAGAGCAGCCTCCACCCCCAGGATCCGGGGCAGCACCCAGATCCTCCTGGGATTCAGGGCAGCATCCACAGCAGGGATCCAGGGCAGCCCCCAGACTCTCCTGGGATCCAGAGCAGCATCCAGACCCTCCTGGGATCCAGGGCAGCACCCAGATCCTCCTGGGATTCAGGGCAGCATCCACAGCAGGGATCCAGAGCAGCATCCAGACCCTCCTGGGATCCAGGGCAGCACCAAGACTCTCCTGGGATCCAGGGCAGTCTCCACTCCCAGGATCCAGGGCAGCATCCACACCCCCATCCCTCTCTATAGCCCGGGGCTCTCCCCTCCACCCCTCCCGGCTCTTGCTGCTTCCAGACCTCCTCGCAGCCGGTTCCTTCCTCCCCCTGCCTCCCTCCCCTTCTCGCCCCGCCGTTATTTGCCTCCCTAATTGGTTTATTGATCTGTGCAGGGGCCGCGCCGGTGGATCACGTCCCGGAGCGCTGACACTAACGAGCCTCCTGCAGCCGCGGCGAGCCCCGGCTCCCGCGCCGGCTGCGCCTGCCTCGCTGCAGGGTCCTGCGATGAATCCGGGGCTGCACACGCTGGCTTTGGCAGCCGGGCTCTGCTCCAGCTGGAAATGTCACGGCCGGTGGCAGCACGCACTGATCCCGCGACCCTCGCGTCCCTCCCGGCCAGCCCCAAGCCGGAGAGAACGAGAACAGTGTTCCTGGGTGCCCTGGGACGGATCGGGCACCTCAGCCCCTGGCATGGGACCGTGACCCCGCCTGGCCCTGCCCCGTCCTTGGGGACAGCCCCGCGTGTCCTCATTCCCTGTCTCGCCATCCAGGCTGGCTCCAGCCGCCGCCCCAGCCTGGCACAGACGGGTTTGGGTTGGGCAAGAGCCCGGCCGTGAGGCCAGGCTGAGCCCAGGGACACTGCAGGGACACGCTGGCCCTTCCCAGGGACGTCCTCAGCCGGCAGTGCCCGGTGCCAGCCCTGGGCGGGATGTGCCTCTCTGCCCCAGGCCAAAAATCCCAAAGGATTTGGGTCCTGGCTGCCCCAGCGCTCCCTGGAGCTGCCCCTCGTCAGGTCTCGGTCACCCTGATGGGAGGTGGCAGCAGATTTGTCCCCTCTTGGTGTTTAATGTGCATTTTAGGGGCTCTGGGGCTGCTCCTTCTCTGCTGGACAGGCAGGGCTCAGGGGGGAGCTGCCAGCCCTGGGCTGTGACACTGAGGGGACAGGCAGGAATGTGACACTGAGGGGACAGGCAGGAATGTGACAATGGGACAGGCAGGAATGTGACATTGGGACAGGCAGGAATGTGACATTGGAACAGGCAGGAATGTGACAGTGAGGGGACAGGCAGGGTTGTGACACTGAGGGGACAGGCAGGAATGTGACACTGGGACAGGCAGGGTTGTGACAATGGGACAGGCAGGGCTGTGACACTGAGGGGACAGGCAGGAATGTGACACTGGGACAGGCAGGGTTGTGACAATGGGACAGGCAGGGCTGTGACACTGAGGGAACAGGCAGGAATGTGACACTGGGACAGGCAGGGTTGTGACAATGGGACAGGCAGGGCTGTGACACTGAGGGAACAGGCAGGAATGTGACAATGGGACAGGCAGGAATGTGACAATGGGACAGGCAGGGCTGTGACACTGAGGGAACAGGCAGGAATGTGACAATGGGACAGGCAGGGCTGTGACACTGGGACAAGCAGGGTTGTGGCACTGAAGGGACAGGCAGGGATGTGACAATGGAGGGCTGTGACACTGACACAGGCAGGGATGTGACAGTGAGGGGACAGGCAGGAATGTGACACTGGGACAGGCAGGGCTGTGGCACTGGGACAAGCAGGGCTGTGACACTCAAGTGTCTCCGCCCACAGAAGTGACACTGTCGGAGCAGGGGTGGCAGTTGATTTTGCTGGTGCTCCTGCACAGAGCCATCACTGTCCCCATTGCCACCCACACGTCCCCAGGCAGAGCCATCATTGCCAGCCGCCCCCAGCCCGGTGCAGCGTGTCACCGTGTCCCCAGGGCCAGCCCTGCCGGGTCACAGCTGTCCCCTGCCCTGTCACAGCCGGCCGGGGATCCCCGGGGTGGCGGGGCCAGCTCTGTGCGTCTGTCCCCGTGTCCCTCCCAGCTGGCACCTGGCCCTGCATCTGCCTGGCCCTGCAGCTAATGAGGGATGCAGCAATTACGGGGCCAGATTGATTAAATCCTAAATCACGGAGCTTTCAAACGGCCCTGACCTTTCCCAGCTGGGGCAGCGGGGCTGAGCGGGGGCTGTGTCACAAAGCTGTGTCCTTGTGCCACCCCTGCTCCGTCTGCCGTGGCACAGGAGGGGACACGGGGCTCTGTGGCGGGGGACAATCGGTGACAGGGATGTCTCTGCCCCCAGCAGTGATGGTTTGGGGTGCCCAGCTTGGGCATCAGGCGGAATTCCTCCGTGGCATGGTTGTGAAACGTCGGAGGAGCTGCCAGGGGAGGTTTGGAGCGCCCGTCCCTGGAGGTGGCACTCAGAGCTCTGGGCTGGGGACAAGGCTGTGACCCCAGAAGTCTCTTCCAGCCTCAGGAATCCCGGGGTTCTGTAGCCCCCACGGGCGGACAGGTGACACTGGCTGCACCCCGGGTGACAGTGACGCCGCTGGCCACCGAGCCGGCTCCGCTCGCCCCCGCGCGCTGCCCCACGCTGCACGTGCTGCTCATTAACGTTGCTAATTAGCGGGGCTGATGG